CCAAAAATTTTCGCGATTACAACACTTCCTTCTGCCAGTAGGCGTGGGAAGTAAAAAAATCTTTCATATAGCGCAGCTGATTTCCTAACAGCTCTACCTGATGAAGAGTGATGTATTTTTATTCAGATTATCCCGGGCGGCTGGATCCGGTTTTTTTTAGAGCTTCAAGCTATTTCTTCTACTTGTAGTGTCCTAGAAAAAGCCATAAGTTTAAGTGCTCAAAAGAACCTTCCAAAAATAAACTGCCTTACATTCTTGAAAATTTCTATTTTTGGCTTACCCTATACACATGGAGTATCTACTGCACTTGCATGAGCGCACGCACATATGATAGTTTGTAAGGAAAGTATCTGATGCCTGAAGAAGACGAAAACAATTTGGGAAAAATAATTCATACTACATTATTCTAACTACACGGTCATAGCAAGGAGATGCAGAAAACTAGCTCTGCTAGATATCTGCTTTATTTTTTTTACTTACTGAGGCATTCCACAAAATCTGTCTCGAAGGACCAAAATGCCTTGAATTTTGTAATCCCTTGAAAAAATGTCTGAAGGGTGTAGATGCATATAAAATGAACTATTTTTACTGATGCAATCACTTAAGCATAAATCTAAGCACCCGAGCACCGCAATTGCTATAAGGAGCTTGAAGACTCCTTGTTGATCCCATTTTTGAACTACGTTGTGAGCAGTACTCGAGGCTGGGTCGTATCTGGGCCTTGAGTAATGTGAGGAGGTTATGTGAGGAAAAGTGGATGTTAGCCGTAATCAAGTAAAAAGGCTTGAATACGGTAACAATATACTTTGCAACTACTGAAGGTTGAGGGGCTTTAAAATGTAATGCGTGAAGCCCGCAACATCTTTTAGTGGACACGCATATATTAATCTGATGGCTGCGGTAAACGCACATTACTTTGAAAGCACTTCTGGGTCATCTATGTCCCAAACAATGAAAATATCGTAATTGTAAGGAACTCATAATAACAAACGATAATGAATATTCATTACCATATGATATTTCCTGGAGCGTTATGATCGACGCCAATTTGAATATGACGACGATCATCCAGCAGTATATCTGTTAAAATTCCACGTCGAAGTGCGGCCGGCGCGGCAAGCATGGGCAGAGTTCTGGCTTGTTGCTGCCAGCAGCTCTGTTCGAGTGTCAACGATCTCTCGGGTCAATCAGCTGAGCTGTGGTCCGTGGTCCGGCCTCAGCGGCATCGCAACTGCCAGGTTGCGGCTTAACGCGCGGCGCTTGACGCTCAATAGTCCAATCGTTTCATCCTCAAAATGACCCACCTTGCTAAACGCAGCATAGTTAGTTTTCTGTTTTGAGCTGAAAGAGAACTGTCAACTCAGTCTAATCTACTTTTTACAATACTTCATTACTTTTCGACGTCTATTGAGGTGAATAGCTAATTAGTAAATTGCTTGTTTGTGTTAAGTCGGTAGTATTGGCAATAACAGGTCTGGTGAAACTCAGTACCATATTCAGATCTATTTACAGAAGCCACCAAAGAAATTTTATTTTCACATATATGCTTTCACTGCGAATTTTGACAATAAAATACGAAGTGGACATAGAGAAACCAAATAAATCACATAAAGGCATTGTTAGAATGTAGAAATCAGTAACAAAAACTACAACAACATACGGTGACAAAACACCCTCTCCTCCGCCAGAGTCTTCTATCATTTAAGAATTTGGGGTGTTAAGAATGTCACTGGAGAAACAGCTATTCTTTGTTTACACGTTTTGACCTGACGAAGTCTCGTGAAAAATAATGTAAAACCGCATATTTCCACACAAATTAGGTTTACCTTTTTCCAATTTGATGGTAAAGATGCACGAACTAAATTGGATTGAAACATGATTACAATCAATTCTTGAGTGGTAAGTGTTTCCCGAAACCTCAGCGGTCTATATACGTATAATGCAATAGCAAGATTTTTCTAAAATGAGACATTAGACTTTTTGGATGTTATATGACATCACGAAAAACCATGTCACTCATTTCCGTCGGTCTGTCTGTCTATCAGTCTGTCTGTAACCATATAACCGCCTATAACTTGGGAAGTTTCGCTCAGATTTCGATGAAATTTTGCCAAAATGCTTACTACTATGCGAAGGACGCAGAAGCTTTGTAGTTGAAAATCAGTCCTGTGGCAACAAAGAAAAATGTCTAAAACGAAAAAAGTAAAAACCGCTACGATTATTCACGTTTCAGGTTTTCCTGATCATTTTTTAAAAGAATGTTAGTGGCAAGGAAACTTGGGGGTGGGGAACCTTGGTAATTATATGCACATATTAAACATATTTCATGCATCCTAGGTTTAATTACATTACAGTAGCCCTTAAAACGTTCTCAACAGACGGATCGCGTACCTCGCCGCATCTATTGCTCCCGGCGTCATGCTGCTGGCCTTGGTGAGTCTTCTGGTGTGATATGCTTGAATGACACAACCTAAAAAAATATATTGTGTCTGTAGAATGTAGTTCTGAGTCCGGTTGATGTAAACAAATTTAGACCTCTTTTGTTTTCTTTCTGCAAAGTGAAACTACCAAACGACTGGGCTATGACGCTTGCCGCACTGAGCAGACCGTACCCACGCTTAGGTTAGGGAGTCGAGCATTTTGGTAACTTGGGACGCGGTAAAGCTTCAGCGCGGCGGCGGTATAGTGTGAGCCGCATCGAAATCGAGTTGGCTTGGCCCGCCTTCCTTGCTGGTTGCTTGACAGCGGCAACCAACTTCTCGGTGCACGTAAGCTTTATGTGCCAGTCAATTTTACGAGCTTACTGGTTTCTCAGGAGCATCTTCTTTACCAAGTGAATCTGAAGACGCTATTAATTTATACAAAATAAATTTCAAGTATCATTAACTAATTCTAAGAAAAAATAGGTTATGTCCAGACCATCGAGGCTCGGACTAGGAGTTTATCTGATGCAGTGGTCTCCAGTTATTTCTTAATTAGTCTAAGTAACTATATGCTATTCAACTAATTTGCTTTAAAATAGCAAACTATGTACCTGTTTTGTGAAACTGTTTAATAAGTTTAGATGATTTAGTTTATGTATAAAAGGTACATTTAAAACAATTAAACATTTTAATAAAAACATGTGAACCGTTAATTTAAATCGCGGACCCGGCGGAACTCGGCCCTTCGTTCGTGAATGATAGGGGGTATGCGACAGACGCAGTGCCGGTGACGCGCTTCGAAAACCTCAGTTTTATTTGCGATTTTCATATTCGAATGATGTTATAACCTGTGTTTTTGGATAATCAGACAAACGATTGGTAAAAGTTGATCCCATATATAACAAGTTCACAATGATGCTATAAAATTCGGAAGTATTTATTTTGTTTCGAAAACAAATCGATCAAGTTTTACAAATTTTTTGATATCTAAGATTTCTCGGTTACATCCTTCAATAAAATGCATTTTATTTTTCAAATTACAAATCTTATTCAAATATCCTTTCGAATCTAAATTTTTATTAAATAACTAACTAATTAACCAAATTAACTAATTAAACAAATTTAATAATAGGTATAGTTAAACTATTTTACTGTGAGCAGGTATACTGATTTTGATAGTTCAGTAATTTTAAGTGAATTGGTGTAATTAATCTGAGTAAACGGCTTAGTAAAATTTTATTAAACGATTACGTTTTGGCTTAATTAATTTTGCTTGATATATTCAAGTAAACTCTTTAGAAATCGAAGTTCAATTAAACCAATTAAACTTGTTGATTCAGTTGCTCAATGATTTTTCTGCATTTTTCAGTTTCGCCTTCTAACCTAGCCCCTAGTCTACTGCTACTTCCTAAAATCTACGGAAATAAATGTGACGTCAACTTTACAATAAGCAAATAAAATAACACAATAGAGTACAGGGTTTTCAAATGTAATTAAAACTTCTGTAGCTAACAATCTTTCTAACGGTGTGCCACATGTAACATAAATAAAATCAGATAACTCAACAAAAAATAAATTTATTTTCAACTATTCCTGATAGTGAATGCAACCAAACCATTGGATTTCCGTCTAACCCAGCTAAACCTATTGCGTCGTTCCTCTGCCTCGTACCCCGCTTCATTACCTGTACCTGACGTGGAATTTAGTCGATCTCCACTACTTTATGTGTGTTTACCTCCGCTATTGAAATTGTTTTTGTTTTCGTTCAGTTGCGTGAAGTGTTCCTGATTTGTTGCTACTGTTGCCTGCTATGGCTGATATCTTTACCAACGAGGAGTATGCTGACATGCTAATGGCATAAGGCAGAGCTGATGGAAATGGCAGAGCAGCAATACGGATTTACCAAGATCAGTTTCCCAATAGACGCCAACCTAATCGTCATACTTTTGAAACTACCTTTAGACGCTTAAGAGGAACTTGGAATCTAAATCGCCGTGAACCTGGAGTTGGTAGATAACGTAACGTTGCAGATGACGAACGCATGCTGGGTGTTTTTGATGCAGATTAGAGATGATCGATATATCGGTACCGGCGACCTTTCCCGGTGACTTGAATGGTCGCCGTTAGTCCCGGCGACCTGATTCTCCATGAAGCAACGACCCAGATCGCTGTTTGGAAGTATCGGTATCGGTAACCACTGATCGGTAGCTGTAACACTGTTTCGGTCGCGGTCGCTGCCAGAAAGCATATTCACATCGCGTTCGCGATCATCGCGCGGGAAGTACAGGGTCGCTACAGCGTAGCCTAACCTATTTTGTTAGTTTTTATTGTCATTGTTGTGAGTTCCTGTTTCATAGAAAAATGTTTCGTTTATTAAGCAATGTTTAACATATAAAAGAAGCATTTTTATACTACATTTATGTTTTACAAGTTTTATTTTGACTGGTAAAATAGTATTTTGTTTTACTTTTTAAGATTCATAGAAAGATATTTTATGCATTTTTATATTTTTATGTGTTTTGTGCTCAATATTGTTGAAAACAAAAACCTTAAATATAGTTTAATTCAAATCTTCAGGAACCTGAACATCTACACCTCGTTAATATCAATGCATAACCGCCGCCAAATATCGAGTAATTTAATCGCTGGCAGCTGGCAGCGACCATAGATAAGCAGTGACCTAAAGCGCTGCTAAATTTACCGCCGACTTTAAGGTCGCTGTCACCGGTATCCCGGCGACTTGCAAGTCGCTGCTAAGATCATCTCTAATGCAGATCCTACAACGAACATCCGGCATGTAGCTGCAACGCTAAATGTGAGCGTATGGAAGAACATGACTACCAAAGACGCGTTCAGTTTTGACGCCTCCTGCTACATATGGTATTGATAACCAAGACTTCTTGAAAAGTATTCTGTGGACAGATGAATCAAAATTCTCGAGGGAGGATATTGTAAATCTTCATAATTTGCATTTTTGGGCCCCAAAAGATGAAAACCCAAAAATGAGGAGAGCAGTGTCCTTTCAACGGAAATTTTCGGTAAACGTTTGGGCAGGTGTAATTCACTTATTGATCCACATTATTGACCGGTCAAGTTGAATGGGTAAAAGTATCTAATTTTTTTTAATAAATGGTCGTCCCGAACACATGAACGGAGTTCCAAATTTTGACAATGAAGAACCAGTGACATTCCAACACAATGGCTGCCCAGCACACTGGATATTAGCAGACCGGCAGCACCTGGAGTCTAGGTCCTAGACAATGCATTTCCCAAAGCTTGGATAGCCAGATATGGTCCGATCCCATGGCCTGCAGGATCGCATGACATGACCCCGCTTGATTTTCACGACTGGGGCCATGCTAAAACACTAAGGTCTTCCGAACAATACAAGAGAACAATTAATAGAAAAATATAGTAATGATTTTGTGGTAATGAAACGAGAAATAACACTGCAGTATACCACAAGAGAAATGAAAAAGAGATGTTATGTATGTATTAGAAATAATGGAATTTAATTTGAACAAGATTTAGAATTAACCGAGCAAAAAGCGAATAATAGGTTTAGCTGTGTTAGAGTGAGACAGAGGTTTGTACTTGCTCACTTAGGTAATCGGAATGATTTGGCTGCATCCACTATCGTTGAAGATAAATTTATTTTTTGTTGAGGTATCTAATTATTTATGTTACACGTGGCATACCGTTAGCAAGATTGTTAACTATAGAAGCTTTTAATTACATTTGAAAACCCTTTTACGTTATTTTTTTTTGCTTATTGTAAAGTTGACGTAACATTTTTTCTCCACTGTTACTTGTTCTGCAACTTCTTATATCAACCGTAAATAGAAAACGTATTGAAATCTAAAAACTAGGGATTTTCTCAAAAAAAGTAATAATCATTATTTCTCCTTAAAACTGAGGCAACATGTAAATTAATTAGGCGTTGTAAATAGCCAATAGCCTCAGCCATCCGCCATTTCCGTTTGGCTACTCACCCTCCATACACCGTGCATAAGGTCGCCAGTCATTTGTACGAAAATATTCGTAGTGAGGAAGCCCGCTTACTGCATCAGTAATTAACTTGTGGTATGATGATGAAAGAATAAGAAGTAATAAGCTAATAAGGTTGCGTCAAGAGTCATCAAAGGCTCATTTGAAGGGTATGAGCAGCTTATAATTTTGCTCCAATCAATCAGTCAATCATGTAATATGTCTGATCTGAATACAGGAATAATAGCTTCTTAAATCTGATAGCTAATGTTTTATGTGCAACGCAACTTAGAAAGGTGTACTAAAGTTTTCTTTGGTAAATCCAGTTAAACGATGCAAACACCTTGCATTCAGGGTAGACATTTACTGACTCGATTTTTATCAAATTGTCCAATACAGAGTTAACGCAATTTAGAGCCTAAAAAATCTATGTTTGAAGGAACAGAGAAATCTGACCTCGTTTAAACTGAGTTTTCGTAAAAAGAACGTGCAGTATACTAAACAAGCTGATGTGAGTTTCGCGTACCTAAGATTCTGTGTAAAGCGAAATCAACTATCGCTACAGTCGTTGTAGGATTATCCAAACAAAAGATATTCTATTCACTAATAACTAGATGAATCAACGTCGTTAATCAAAGATCTCGGATGTCGGGAGAGAGCAATGACCAAAAGAAAGCGAACGTTTCCGCATGGAAATGTACTAGTTAGCGATTCAAAACAAAAGAATAATTTAAATGGACTAAACCGAACTCCGGTGAAAGTGAATGAACTTGTTATGGAATAAATACAATTCATAACAGTAATCAAACATTCGAGACAGTTTATTGATCTTGTTTATGATACGTTGTGACTCAATCGTTTCTGGTTATTACAATGACATAAAATTTGCTACAGTTGAAACAGTTATAGATTGAAATGCATTGTTCTTTTCTATTCTACAAACAATAACATAATGGCCTTCATGTCTGCTTATTGAACTTGTTTGCCTATCTGTTTTTTGACATCACATAAGTTCAGAAGTCGGTGTGCCGAATTAGATTTGACTGCTTTAAACATATTGCAATCTTTTCGCTTCACTTTACACATCTGAATATAATGAGGAAGAACTACGAGTATTTGGTCAAAATCAGACAAATACTAGGTTTGCGTTTTTCCAGAATCCATACCATTTGTCATGGTACTAAAGATAATTCGAAATGTCTGTTATTCTAATATTGATAACTTTATTTTTGCAGATCCTTAGGTGCATCTACATATACTATGCTTTTAGTTCAATATGCCACAAGATGAAAAATTCTTTAACACCACCTGAATGTTTTCAATATTGTTGAGTTTAAAGAGCCATATTAGTCTGTCCATCTTTGGCCATAACTGGGAACCATTCTAAACTGTTCATATACAAGAAAAAAAATAGAGTATGCAATGAATGCACATTGCTTCCAAAAATAAAAGATTACACTCATCTTGGCGGTGGAGAACTCATATTTAAGGACTTGCTGATATTTTCAATGCTTCCTCAGCTATGGCTGTGACAGTCTTGATTTGTATTCAGCTCATACTTTATGCGGGAATAAAGTGAGCACGTGAGGTATGGCTTTATCAGGAGACAAGTAATTGCATTGCTTATCAGCCAGCAAGAGCAATTTTATCTGAGCACAGTCACGGACGTCCAGATTACAAATTGTTCGACGGATTGATCTTGTTAGCGTTTAGCAAATTGATACGATGATTGCAGCTTATTCTGATTTATGACTATACTGCAAAGACTACGTGATTTAAATACCCTACATGGACTTATTTTCTCCGTCCCGTCAATCTGAGTTAGAAAATAGACCTAATTCTACACTGATGAGCAATTATGTAAAATCGTTGATGAACAGGAAAATGTTATGTTGTCTGAGATAATGATATCGTTCTCATATATGCCTTCATCATCAAATAATTGAGGTTCATACTAAATACTATTTTGTGCAAGCCCATAATATAAGTGTGGTCAAGTTTATGTCTGACTAAACAGATCTCAATGTGACTGGCGGCTTTACTCATGGTCCGATATAGTCTTGTGGTGTTGAACTTCGACCACATCTCTTCTGATCGAACCTAGGGGTCCAATTAATTTGGTCAAGCAATACGTGTGGTTTGCACCTGGTACCCATGCTCTTTAAATTGAAGCGCTGCAAAAAAATGTTGTAACGAGGCTGGTTCTTGCTCTAGGTATAGACAAGAAGCAACGCGCAATGAATTAGGTACCTTAACGCACGAACGATAGCGTTGCATCGCTCGTTTTGCATGGCATGATAAGTCGCCCTGCTAAACGTGCAGACTTCTTTTTCAAGAGTATGGCGGGTGTTAACTCGGTGTAAATTTGCTTAAACAAATATAAGTAAATTGTTATTTTAGCTCCAGACAGTTATCTTATGTTTTTTTGAATCATTCTGAACAAAAAAGTTTTTGATTAACTTTTCTCTAAAGCTGGCCGTTTTCCCTAAAAGCGGCTGTTCTCAAAGTACAACTCGGGTAAAATTTTTTGTATGAAGTTGCCAAGTGGTTCAGGTCCAAACCTTCCTCTACAACACATTGGAGAGTATTTTTAGGTATATTCTACCATAAAACATTGTTATTTAAATGTTCATAACGCGTTATATGCTAAGGGTCACGAGCGTGGCGCACATCATTAATTGCTTAAAAAACACCCAGCCTAGATGAAGTTTCGAACTTTGGAAACCTTAAAAACAATAATTATTAACTGCGTTTTTAAACATTGAATATGGGCATTTTTAGAGGTTTTTTAGGTAAAGTGATTTTTTGTTCAGACCGATCCAAAATACCTGAAAAACCTTACTGCGGAGCTAAAAACGCGATGCGATGCTTTGTAACTTGTCAATAAAAACGTTTCAACAATTCTGGTTGAAGGGGAATCCAACGTGATTATGGAAAAACATCGAGTTGGAAAATATCTGCCACGATGTGAGGTTCTGGCCCAGTATGTTATGCTCCAGACACGCAGTAAGGAAAACAATTTCCGCCAAGCGAGTTTTCGGCAAACGTTGACCCTGGAGCAGGAGCGGCAGTAGTACCGGTACTAACTCTCCGGTACGCGGAATCTCGGTATTTAGTTTCCTCGCGTCGCTGTTTGTTTACGAGGAGATATGGATTGAACACAAAAATAAACATACTACGGTGGTGGTGTGCGAAAATGATCGCTTCGTACGACCTTGCCGATCCGAGCGAAGAAGCGATGACCGCGGTCAGGCGGCAAATCAGGTTGAAACGCCATAGGAGGGTCACTCTCACAACCAACCACAACTCGATATGGCTAATCGTACTCGTCGCTACTCGATACACTTCTGATATGCGTGTAAATAGTAGCAACATTATGTATGCGCAGTTACTCCTATAATTTAGAGTCGATATCATTTGTTTTATTTTATTCTTATTTTTCTTTACTATTCATCACCGTGAACTTCGTTAATAGCAAGGCTACATGAAACAAATTAATGATGTTGATGATGAGAAAGCAACACGGAAATAGGAAAATAAGAGCAGGCATACACATACACTTAAATAGCAGAGGATCATGCTGGACAATAGTATTTTCATATCTTCTAAAGGAGAATCTCACGCTTAAAAATTTCGGAAACTCGCA